CTTTAATGTTTTATATTTTAAATAATTATGAGGTTTTGTTGTTTTCATGTTTAAAAGTTCAAAAACAATTAAAAAGTTTTAAAATTAAAAATTTATCTCACAGGTTTTATCCTGTGAATAACTTGATTCTGTTGTTAAAAGAAATAATATTTAGACAAACTTTTACTGTATTTTTATACAAAATAAAAAAATTTGCTTTAATTTGTTTCATTTGGTTTTTATTATATTTGAGAATAAATGTTAAAACACATTTTTATTTTTATTGGAGCTGCTTTACTTTGTAAAAAACATTTAAAAATATTTTTATTTTATTTGTTTGGACAGAAAAATGACYTCATCTGTAAAATAATCTTCTCTCCGTCCCAGATGTCTGACTCCAGGGTGTCCTCTGTCATCCAGGAGTGGGGGTCCTCGTACCCGGGTCAGGCCCACGGTCAGGTTCTGGGCTCGTCCAATCAGGCGGCGCCGGCGGCTCCCATGTCTCCGCTGGACATGATGTCCTACAGTCCCTGTCAGGACCGGCAGCAGATGATGGGCCTGCCGTACCTGTCCTACACCACGTCCTGCCTCAGCAACACGTCCAGCTCCGGGGGACAGAACCATCATCAGACCACCTCTCAGCAGGTGAGACCCAGACCCAGACCCAGACCCAGACCCAGACCGTCCTCCACCTCCTGTTAGTTCTCTAATAACCGTCTCCCCACCAGGACTTCTCCCCCTTCCTGCTGCCGTCCCTGCGGGCCCCGGTGGCCAAGAGGACCATCAGCAAGGACAGCGCCGAGTACCGTCTGAGGCGGGAGAGGAACAACATCGCCGTGAGGAAGAGCCGGGACAAGGCCCGGCGCCGGGTCCTGCTGACCCAGCAGAGGGCCCTGCAGCTGCAGGAGGAGAACCAGAAGCTGCAGGTCAAGGTGGGACAGCTGAGCCAGGAGCTGGACACCCTGAGACACATCCTGTCCCAGAGACACCTGCCGGGCTCCGACGAGCCGGGCCTCTGAGGTCCACCGGGACCAGGACTCCGGGGCTCGTTAGGCTCTGGGATTGAGGAAGCAGAACCGGACTTGGTGTTAGTTGTTGCAACAGATGTTTAAAAAAAAAGCAGAAGCAAGCGGTGGTTTTCTGAAGAGACAGATTTGATTAAGCTCCGCCCCCTGAGAGGCGAGAAGGTGTCTGTTAGCAAAATATCTCAGGAGCTGCTGAGCCGAGTTTCAAGATGGCCGCCGCTAATTAATACGGGTACTCAGCTAAAATTCAGCTTGGTAGTAGCTGAAGATCATCGCTCCGTGCGCTAACTGATTTTAGTTTTTATTTAACGATTTAACAAAAATAAATAAATAAAACTTCATGATTTTAGTAAAGTCTTGGAGTTTTTAGCTCCACAGGAAACAGAAGTGAGCGTTTTACATTTTATTTATTGACATCATGGTGTTTGATAATGAGTTGAACTAAGTTTGATTTGTGTGATTTTATTTTGGTTTCTGATCGTTGCTCCATCAGATACCTGACATTTGTTGTCGTCGCAACTCCTGTTGCCCAACAGAGTTGCTCAACAACCCGTGGTTTGTAGTGGAGCCGGTGAAATCTAAATGTTTCTCTTATTAGCTGATTTGTCTAACCAGTACGGGTTAGTGGAAATAATTCCACCAAKATTTTATTTTGAAATGTTGTCAAATCTGGATTTTTTTTTATAAAATTGCATAAAAAGCAAAAAATATTTTCCTAAATAAAGAATTTCTTTTAATTTCCTTTTATTTCTGCGCTTTTGATCGGTTGATTTGTGAAAATTTATTTTCTAAGTTATCCATTTCAGGCTCAAAACCTTGATAAGTTGAAGGTGAAAGTTCTGGTTCTTGTTAGCGATGGTGATTGACTGCAGCTGTTGGTTTCTCCTTGGATAGGGTGAGGAACGGTGTACTGACTGTTGAGCACGGTGGCGGTAGTGTCATGCTATGGAATACTACAGAACTGGTTTTCTGAAACAGCTCAGAAACTTGGTTTCTCTACAGGAGAACTCTGCAGGAAGAGCACCAACTGAAATCTGTGAAGATTTTTTGTTTTTGTTTTCAAGTTTTTCTTATTCTCAAATCCCTCAGCTCTAGAGATTTATTTTTTATTTATTTAGAGCGACGTTGTGGAGAACTCCAGCACTAACTTTAAAATCATTAAACAAAGGGATTTCCAGACCAGCTGGCAGAGAAACGTGGTTAATTTCTGCAACCATAAGTGTTTAAAAACTGAAATTTAAAGGTAGATTGGATCATATTTTAGTTCCAGGGTGGCGTAGGCAGTGGAGGCTGATGCTAAGGGGGCCGTCCATCCGGGGGGCGCCACAGAATAGGATTGTTTTAGGATTTTATCAAAGTCTAGTTGATTTATTCCCTGGTTCCTCAGGCTTATGAACTTGTTCCATTTTGTGATGAGGTTTTAAGATTCAGAGGATATTTCAAAATAAAAGTATCATATGATACAATCAAGACTAACGACTGGAGCTCATTTAAATAGAAAACAAAATAATTAAGGAAGTTTCGGTTCTGATCTCAGATAAAGTTCAGGTAAAACACTGATTTTATGTTGTTTATTGATCTAAATAATTTAGCAAAATGCTTTAAAATGGCTGGAAAATGCAGAGGTTTGAGTAAATCTTTTATTATATTTTCCAGAGGAATATACCCTTGTACCCCGCTGGTTAACATGAACAAGAGTTCCTCATGACGTCAGCAGGTGTTGTCAGGTACACAATAGTTTTTTTATTAATTATATTGTTAACTACTTTAATTGGACAGCCTGTTTTCTAAAGATCAATAATAAAACTATTTAATTTGCTATACGAATGTGTGTAAATCGACAGTAAGATTTAGAAAATTGCCCTGGGCAAGATGGCGTCTTTAAGGACTCATTTTAGCAACAAAGATAAATATTTTTGAACCGTTAACAAATATACGTAGATATATTGTAGTTTGTGTGTAAAAGAGGAAAAAAKAATAAATTTAAAGTTGTGCTTTTGTGTTTTAGAATCTCTCATGTTGTGTAATCCCCTCCTCCTCACCACTCAGGGAAAAAGAACAGAGATTTTTATCAAAACCGATGCGAGGGCGAGGTTTTAAAATCACAATTGCCACACATCAGGACATTCCCCGACATCCTTTTTTTTAAAAATCGATTCTAGAAAGCATCCTTCGTCACTTTTTTACCATCAGAGCCCTGAAGCCACAGAAACGGACCGCGGACCGTTGTGCCCCAGCGGTTTCCCTTTGGCAAGATTTCGACACAGCAGAGGACAAAAGATGAGGAGCGCAGAGATAATATCAGCGTTCGGGGCTGCCAGGGCCTTCCTGTGGCTGTGATGGTGATGAAGGGCCACAGAGATAGGAGGCAGGGGAGGCGTCAAACCAGACACCTCACTCTCTCATTATTTACTCAAAGATTATCCAGTTTCCTCACTATGTAGATTCTGCAACAGAATCTTTGTTTTATCACGTCACACAGCGAGTTGTACAGCTTAATTATCACCCGCCGCTTTTCACGCCACAGTTTTAAACCGAAACCAGCTCCTGTTGAGGAAAACGACAGTTTGAAATTAACATTTTTGTGCAATCTCACTAAGCAACCAGACCAAACTCCAGCTCCATGTTTGCAGTGTTGAAAGAGTTGCTGCCCATTTTGTTTCAGCTATGTTTTATTAGCTGTGGCGGCCATCTTGAATTGGATTGACTCCAAATGTTAAACAGTTGTAGATGTTCACCTGCTGATTACTTCCTGAGGGTTTCTTTGAAATCCATCTGGTGGTTCGTGAGATATTTTGCTAACAGACGAATGCAATTAAGGCCAATATTTATATGCTAATGTTTTAAAGAAAGATTTGTCTCACTGAGTATAACTTGGAGTATATGACGCGAAATACTCTCAGCTATTAACACGCCAAATTTTAGCTAAAAATCTTTAAAACTGACTGATTTATAATGTTCATGTGTTTTTTAAGGTTTATTATCTGTGGTGGCCATCTTGAATGAGGCAGACTCCAAAGGTTAATCAGTTTAGATGTACTTTCAAATAACATTTCCTAAAGGTTTCATTAAAATCCATCCAGCAGTTCATAAGATATTTTGCTAACAGACAAATAAGGTTAAGTCCAATATTGAATGTTTGTTTTAAATTAAGATTTGCCTCACTGAGTAGCACTTCAACTATATGTTGTAAAAGACTCTCAGCTACTACCACGCCAAATTTTAGCTTAAAACCTGTAAAACCGACTGATTTATAGCCATTCATGTGTTTTTTAAGGTTTATTATCTGTGGCGGCCATCTTGAATCAGGCAGACTCCAAAAATCATTCAGTTGTAGWTGTACATTCAGAAAACATTTCCTAAAGATTTCATTAAAATCCATCCAGCAGATCAAGAGATATTTTGCTAACAGACAAACACAAGCGAAAATATGATTACCTTTCCAGCAGTGGATGTTCATGAGAGCGAACCTGTAATGAACTGTTCAGATAATAAAACAGGAAACATGTTAAAACAGTGTTTGTAACAGTAAGAAGCTAAAAACCTTCTTAAAGACAGGTTTTATTTTGTCAGCTAAACGTCAGAAAATGAGAGCGATAGTGTAACAGCTGCTCTTTGTTACGTCTTCAGATTAAAGCTTTTTTTTTCTTTATCGTTTTTTTGTGTGTGAGTGCGTCTGTCGAAATGTCCCGCAGCTTTGTGTGGAGCAATCTGTGGTCCCCGGACTGCAACAAGTCCGCAGAGTGAAGAAAGCTCGTATTTCACCCAATCCTCACCCGGTTACTCAACATCAGCCGAACCCCACCACCACAGCCCCGCCGAAGACGCTCCGCTCTTACAGACGACTTTAACAAAGGTGTTCAGGTGTCTGTTAGCAAGATATAAACGCTCAGTGTTTGGATCTTTAGCTGTTGTAGGAGCCGAAACAAACTTATAGACAACTGAGAACAGAAGACTTCAGATACTTTTAACWAGCTTTTGGTTACTTTTGTCTTTTAGCTTGGTCTTCTCCACTTTTTAACTTTTAGCTATTATATTTTTGTATTTTAGCTTTCAGCCAATCTTTTAATTTCAGCTTTAACTCCAATTTAGTTACGACATTTAGCTTCMRGCTAGCCTTTTAGCTTTTTTCAGCTTAAGCCAGTCTTTTGATATTCTATATATCTTCAACTTTTATCAGCCTTTTGCTACYTTTAGCTTCTAGCTAGCTTTATTATTTTTTTATCAAATCTATGGCTTCTTTAGCTCCTTGCTAGCCTTTTGYTACTTTTAGCTTTTAGGAATTCTTTTGCTCCTTTAAGCTTTCAAGCCAGTGTTTTGTTACTTTTAGCTACTAACACACTTTTCACTWTGTTTAACCACTAATTAGCTTTGTGGTGTTTTTATTTTTTAGCTAAYCTTTTGCTTCTTTAGCTTCCAGCTAGACTTTGGATGCTTTGAGCAATATTTAGCCTTTGGTTACTTTTAGCTTTCAGGCATTTTTTGCTTTTTCATCTCTCAGCACACCTTTTCTTATTTTTAGCTTTAACTCCAATGTAGCTACTTTTGTCTAAGCTTTTGCTACATTTAGCTTTTAGCTAGCCTTTTTTTAAACTTTTGGCTTTTAATCAGTCTTTTGCTACTTTTAGTTTCTATAAAACTATWTAGCTACAAACTATAGCTTCTTTAGCTCCTAGCTAGTCTTTTGCTAATTTTAGCATTCAGGAATCCTTTAAGCATTCTTACTTTTAACTATTAACACACTTTTTCACTACTAGCTAGCTTCATGATACCTGTCTTTTAGCTAACCTATTGCTTCTTTAGCTTTGCTTTCAGGCATCCTTTTGCTATTATTTTTAGCTTTCAGCACATATTTTATTTCAGCCAGCATTTCACCTTTTTTAGCTACTAGCTAACCATTTAAAACTAGCCGTTTGCTAATTTTGCATAGCCTTCAGCTGCATTTAGGTTCATCTACAATTTTTGATACATTAGCATTTCACTAGCTTTGTTTACTTTTACCTTGCCCAAGAGATTAGCTAACTTTTTGCTATGCTAGCTTCTACTTTGCTTTCTGCTACATTTAGATTTTAGCTACAATTTTGCAACTTTACATTTCATCAAGCCTTTTGCTAGTTTTAGTGAAGCTTTTTTTCTGTTTTGCACATTTCACTTCAGCTATTTTGCTACTTTTAGCTCAACTTTCCTTTAGCTCTTAGCTAGTGTTTTGGTTCTGTTTTTTTAATTACTCAGTATTAGCTCCTTCTGTTAAGTTTAGCTGTGGTTTAGCGTCCGTTTTACTCAGGATTTTAGCAGAAAATTCAGTTTGTTTGGTTTAACATAGATTTTCAGGTAAATAAAATGCTGGATTCAGGACTACCTGTTGTCTTACCTGCTGTCTCACCTGTGGAAACTTCTGCATCCCAATAATTTGAAGATGTGCTCCTCTCTTTCCACGGTCCAAAGGGAGGAGGAGCTTCGTGTGTTACTCCTGTCGCTTCTTGTTACCTGAACTCTGGCCCCATCATGCGGCTGCTGTGAAAGAGAGCAGAGATCTAAAAACAGACGTCTCACTCTGTCACTGAATCTGTGAAACACCTCTCCAGTCCATCTATTTTTTTTAATAATCTGAAAGAGGAAAAAAGTATTTATTTTAGTCATTAGATCCCCCACCCGAATAAAAATGTACAATACCTCCTTCCTTTTGTATGGAAGCCCATTTCCGCCACCCTGATAAAAAAATAAATAAAACTTGTATCTCATAATTATGACTTAGCTATCTTATGAGATAGCTATCTCATAATTATGAGATAGTATCTCATACTTATGAGATAGTATCTCATAATTATGACTTAGCTATCTCATAATTATGAGATAGTATCTCATAATTATGACTTAGCTATCTCATAATTATGACCTAGCTATCTCATAATTATGACCTAGCTATCTCATAATTATGAGAAAGTATCTCATAATTACGACTAAGCTATCTCATTATTATGAGATACTATCTCATAATTATGAGATAGTATCTCATAATTATGGAGATACTATCTCATAAAGCTATCTCAT